TAAAGTGGTCGGAGCTCTAGACACCCTGTGCAAGAGAATAAATTTTTGAGTGCGGCAAGGCAGGCAGAGTGAATGGAGGCTTTGGCACTTCTCGGGCGGCTGCCCGGGTTTTCGGGTTTGCCCCGAACCACTTGGGCCTGGGGCCCCGAACGCATCGATGGCTGTGGAGTAGGTGGCACTGAAGGTTGCACTGGCATGTCCAGGCAGCGCACGATTCTTGGGCTGCTTCCCTCGGCCATCGAGATTCCGCTTGCTGGGCGCGCGCCCCTCGCGGGGGCGGCAATCGGAAGGCGCGAGCGCATCTGGGCAAGCAGCAGCGACGGAAGAGGTGGGGGGGCAGGAGCCGCGGGCAACCGAAGGGGAAGGGAATTCATATTCCTATGCATCCAAGGGGCGCAGTCCTCCCCCCCCTCTTCTTTTTCCCCCTCTCTCCCCCCCCCCCCTCCTCTCCGTCCGTGGCCATTGCGGCTCAGAGCTGTCATGTTTGAACGTCGGCTCAAATGAGCCTCGCACGCTGTGGATCTGATTCGCCCCCCGTCTCAGGCTGCGCGCTTCGCGGCACGCGCCCGGGCGCGTGCGGGGGGGCGCGCGGGCACAGCTGCTAGTGCTTCACGTGCCTTTCGCCTTCTCGCATTTCGTTCTGATGGGCATTGCCATGGTCTTAACAGCGGGGTTTGCGCAGAGTTCTGCCCTTTTCTACTCGGCGCAGGTTCCGGCACATTGGCGTCGCACATCAATTCACGGGGCATTGCGCTGATCCCTGGGAGGTGTCTTTTTTTGCTTGTCTCCAGGAAGAGCTTCGGATTTCGTCTCCGCACAGCGCTGCGCCCGCCCGTGCCGCGATCGCCCCGCGTTTTTCGGTGGCGCATCGTCGTCGGCTGGTGAGGGGCGCTTTCAACCAGCTGGCTCGGAAGTTTACGCCGTCTCTAACGGCGCTGGCGCCGCGAGCTGCGGCACCGTCCGCCGCGCCGCCCTCGGCCCCAGCTTTGCCGCGGGGCGCGCAGGGCGCGCGCGACGCGCACTTGACCTCCTACATCTCCCTTGCGGAGGACATGAATGGCAAGATCGCGCACTCGGAGGGCACCGAGGGGAACTGTCGGGAGCCGAGGTGGCGGAGTCAGAGACCGCCCGCCGCGAGGAGGCTGAGGCGTCGGCGTCATCTTCTTCTTCCCCTGCTTCCGGTGGTTCTGAGGGTTCGCATCATTATTCTTCGGGTTCTCCCAGGGCGAAGGGCGTCCTTGGGAAAGAGGCCGAAGGCCGCGTTAACCAGCGACTCGACGACATGAGCCTGGGAGTTCGCGCATACGGCATCCTCACAAAGGGGCTTATGCGGCCCCCCACCTAAAGAGCGCCCGCCGTTTAAATCACGTCTACACCCCGCAGTCACTTTGGCCCGGGCCCCCTTCGGGGCAGGGGCGGCAGGGACCTCGAGGTGCTTCGGCGCGAGGCCCCCGTCTTCTTCCCGCGGCCAGCGGCGAGCCCCCAGGCCGCCGGTCGCCACATTGCGCGGGCCGAGAGCCCCCCAGGCCCAGCGCTGCGCATTTCTGTGGGATGGCGCTGCGAGGGCGTCGGCGGCGATGCGCGCCCGGGAGCCTCGATGGCCGTTCCCCCGAGGCGCGTGGTTCGACGCGCGGTCGAACGGCGAGCCGCTTGGCAGCCTCGCCCTGTCGGCAGGCGACCTGGGCGCAGGTCGCGACTCAGTGGGCCAGCCGCAAGGCCGCAAGCTGCTTCGCATCGAGGTCGCGCGCGCGCGCTCGACGAGAGCGGCGACGCCGCTGGCGCGGCGCCGGGCCGCTGCCTGCGCGCCATGCGGGCGCCTCCGACGCATGCTTCAGCTGGTGCGCTCAGGCCGCGGGCGCGGCTGGAGGGCGGCCCGCGGGCGCGATCTTCCACCTCTGCGGGCGCGCGCAGGAAGAGTGCTCCGCGGGTTGCCCGATCGGCGCGAGCAGCGTGGATCACTTCGACGTCTGGCACCTGGCGGACGAGCGCGACTGCGAGGAGGTGCAGGCCGGACTCCACCTCGCGCCAGCGCCGAGCGGCGGGCTACGTGTAGCCCCCAGCATCGGCTGCCCCACGCCTGGTGGCAGCGCTGCTGGCTCGGGCGACGAGGCCAGCCGCCGGGGGCAACTCCCGCTGCCGCCACTTCCGCCAGCGGCGCGGCAGCCCCCGCCTCCGGAGCCGGCGCCCCCCGTGGAGGACCTCGATGCCGACGAGGAGGAGCCCTCGGCGAAGCGCCCCCGCGTTGCTTGCCCAGGCCGTGGCCAGAGCGCGGCATCGGTCCTCGGAGGGAGCCCCCTTGACGACGAGGCGGCCAACCTCGAGGGCCTGGCGCCGGACGGGCGGCTCGCCCAGCTGGGGCAGCGGCTGCCGGGCAGTGGAGCTGGAGGAGGCAGCCGCGCAGCAGCCAAGAATGCCCCGGGCCCTGGTGCCGCGCGGGCGCTGGCGCCGCGCGCGCAGGATCACGTCGCTGCTGGGGGCGCTGCGCGGCCCGCACCTGCTGCTGGCAGCCGCGAGCGTTTGGCAGGGATGCTAGCGGCTGCTCTGCTCGGCGGGGAGGGTGGCGGCGAGCTCAGCGAGGGCGGCTCGAGTGCGCTGGGCGGAGACATGCACCAGGGGGTGAACATCAAGCGCGACTTGTCCCAGAAGATCGCGGAGCAGCGCCCCGGGGCGCTGCTGGAGAACGGGCATATCCGAGGCCAGTTCGCCCGGCAGCTGGCTGACGCGGGGCCTTCGGACCCGCTCAGCCCGCGCGTGGTCAAGTACCTCAACGCGGTGTTCTTCGTGGCCCATCCTACCTGGGGTCTCGAGGTGGACGAGGCGCGCGCGCGCGCTGAGGGCGCTGGGCATGGATGGGCTGCCCAAGGGCCAGGTCGTCGAGGTCTGCGACTTGCATGCTCGCGCAGGAATTCAAGGCCAGGACGATGGCGCTGCGGGGCGGCCACCGGCGCAGCGCGCGGTGGCTCACCCTGGCCCCCAACCAGAGCCCCCCCGCGGGGGCGTCGCGGGGCGAGGAGGCGGCCGCGGAGCGCGTGGAGGCCCGCGAGATGAAGCTCGCCGAGCTGAGGCGCCGCCTGTCCGAGAAGCGAGGGCTGGGCTAGGGCTTTGGCCGGGGGCCCTCTCCAGTTCGGGGGAAGAGGTTGCCCTGCAGGCCGAGGTCTCGTGGAAGCGAGGCCCCGGGCCCCGACAGCGACGCCCGTGGCGGGCTCGCCAGCTGCCCTGAGGATCCTGGCAGGGCGCGTGCCGGCCCCCGACGGTCGCGCGGCAGCGGACAGGCAGCCCGCCTCTCGGGGCTCGGCCCCGGGGGCGCCAAGCACCGCTGGAGCAGCCGCAGCCCCCGCCCACCCCGCCCCTCGACTGGGGCAGCAATCTCTCATGGACGCAGGCGCAGCAGGGGCAGCGGCAGGCGACCTCGCCCGGGGACCATCATGGAGGGAGGCGAAGAACGCCCACCCTCAGCGCCGACACGAGAGCCGGCGTGAATGGAAGGCTCGATTGGGGCTCGCGAAGATGGCCAAGCCGCCGGGCCGCGGACGCGCGACCGCAGCGGGCCGCGGGCGCGGAGCTGCAGCGGGCCGCGGGCGCAGCGCAGGGCTGCCCAAGGGAGCCGGGGCCCCCAGGGCCCTTGCGGGGAGCCGCTGAACCTCGACGGAGGCAGTCCGGGCGAGGAGGCTGGCTCGGCCCCTGTGGTGCGCGAGCTCGGGCTGTTCACCGTCGCTGAGGAGGGGGATGCCGATTTGCCCGTGGGCCCGACGAACGCCGCGAGCCTCTGGAGGTCTCCGCTGGAGCCAGAGGCTGCTGTTGGCGTGAGGCGTTGGAAGCGTGCCGCTACTGGTGGGGCAGCGTGGGCGGGGTCGGCAGCCTCGAGGGGCGGCGCGTTGGCCCGGGGAGGGTCGGGGAGCAGCTCGGTGAGCACCCTGAGCCCCCCCCCCGAAGGCAGGCACGGTCGCGCGACCGCTCCATGGAGGAGAACGAGCAGGAGCGTCACCTGCGAGGACCCGCACAGAGCCGGCGTTGGCGGAAGATGTTGGCTGGCGCGGGCAGTCGCGGCACCCGGACTCGGTTTCAGCTGGTCGTGGCCCTCTGCGACACGGCGCGCGGGCCCCCTGGAGACGTCTGGAGGTTTATCAGAAGCGCTCCGCCAGTACAGCGAGTGCGCATCGAGAGGAGTCGCGAGGTGTTGCCGCTACACGTTCCCGGCGCTCCCGCTTTCCTGTCACGCCGTGCTGAGTGGCTGGGCCAAGGCGCCGTCTGGGACCCTGGGCTGGACGACGCTGTCGCCGAGCTCAGGGGTGGACTGCTTGTCGTGCACGCGCTGAACTCCCAGTTTGCTGGACACGCCAAGGGCAGGCCGGCCCTCTCAGGGCCGCTGACGGCCGCCCAGGCCCGCTCCATGACCGGCATCACGGAGGCTGGCAAGTGCTTCGCGTAGAGGTCCCAGACTGGTTCGAAGTGGTCGCCGCGCGCGACGTCACCTACGGTGGGGGGGAGGTGTCGGCGCCCTGCGGCTCACCCTCGGCGGTGTGCTACCAGGGTTGCCCCCGCAGGGGGTCGCTGCCTCTGCTCGGGCGCTGGACATCGTAGACGACCACGTCGCGGGCTGGCTTGCCGACCCCGCCTTGGCGCTTCGGCCCAAGGCCGAGTGGCCGGAGGAGGTCCCACGAGCGGCTATCCAGGCGAGCTCGAAACCTGAGTGGCACCGCATCGGCGCCAAGCTTGTGGAGTTGGGTTTGGCCGTGCCCATCGCCGACGACCGGGTCTTCAAGGTCGGGAACAGGAAGGTCTTGGCGGGAGCGCTCGGTGTCGCCAAGGGCGATACCCCTTCGCCCTGGCACGACTTGGTCCAGCGGCTCATTATCAATATGGTGCCTGCGAACAGCTACCAGCGCACCACGAGGGACGACATCGGGACGCTCAGTGCTTCACCCTCGTGGGTGGGGATCCCGCTGCCTGAGGGCCATATGCTGCTGTGGTCGTCCGACGACCAGGCGTCGGCTTTCTACTGCTACGAATTGCCCGCAGCCTGGCAGCCGTACATGACGCTGGCCGAGGCGATCCCCAAGTAGCTCATTGGCGCCAGCGACCCGGGGAAGACGCACATCGCGCTGCGCGTCATCCCGGTGGGCTGGATCAACGCGGTCACGGTTTTCCAGCACTGTCACAGGCGGCTGGGGTTTTGCTTGAAGCCGCTCGGTGCTGGGCTCCCTCCTGAGGCCGAGTGGCGGAAGGGCAGGCCGCTGCCGTTCAAGTCGAAGTAGCTTGGGCAAGCGTGGGCATTGTACTACCATCGACGACTGGGACCACGGCGAGATCGTCCCGGCGGGCCTTCTCGGCGAGCTGGTAGGGACGATGAGCGTTGTGCAGGCCGAGCAGCGCGAGGCCTACGCGAGGAGCGGCATCCAAGTGGCTGGTGGCAAGGCCAAGCACCGCGAGCTCGTCCTCGAGAGCTCGACAGGATGGGAGCGGGTCTGGATGGCAGCGCTGGCCGCGTGGGAGATACGACTGAGAAGCTGCATCTGCTCCTCGCGCTCATTATGTTGGCCATAGGGCCAGCTCGAGGTCACGGTCAAGGCGATGTTCGTGGTACTCGGGTGGTGTGCGTGTGTTGCTGAGTTCCGGCGACCCTGCATGGGCTTCCTGAATGAGTGCTGGGCTACTCGGCAGTGGAACTACCCTCGTTCGGTGCCGTCCCTGATGCGTTGGGAACTCCTGCTGTTCTGCATGACCCTCCCGCTCGCTTTTACCGACCTGCGGGGCAGGATCGACGCGAGCGTGATCGCCACTGACGCTAGTGAGCAGGCAGGTGGCATCTGCTATTCAGCGGGGCTCACGCCGCGCGGCGTGCAGGCCGCCACCAACGAGGATGGCCTGTGCGATGAGGCTGAGCGGGCCACCTTCGAGGCGCCCCGTCTGGTCCAGTGACGTCGCGCGCTTCTCCAGGGCCCTCGAGGGTTTCAGGCGCGACACCGACGTGGGTCTTCATCTCCGCGGGCAGCCCCCTGCCAGGACCTCCCGACGCTCAACGTGGTTGGAGGGTGAGAGGAGAAAGCTGTTCTGGAAGGTCCCTGCCCTTATTGAGGCCGCCAAGCGCGTGTTCGGCGAACGCGTAGACTGGTTCCTGGTTCCTCGAGAACGTGTTCAGCATGGGGAGCGAGGCGGGGGGCACCGAGGCGCCGAAGGTTACGCCGCTGCTGCTCGACGCGAAGGACGGACTTCACCCGAGTGAGGCGGCCGCGTCTCCTTTGGTGTTCCTGGCCGGCAGCTGAGCCCCCCCCCGCTGGCGTCCGCGTTGAGGTCATGGGCGAAGGAAGCAGCCAGTACCTGAAGGTAGTGGTCAGCGTCCAGCGAGCAGCTGCGGAGTCGTGGCCGATGCCGAGCTGGCGGCTGGATGATCCTGACACGGACCTGCCCTGCATCCCGCCACGGATCCTGCGGGGCCACCCGCCGGTGAGGCCAGTCGGCCTGGAGCGGGCGAGCGATGCTGCCCAGGCACGTTGGGTCGAGGGCCGGTACCGCTACCAGGTGTGCAACTACGAGGACAATGTCCTGCCGTGGAGCCCAGACCGTTCGCGGGGCAGGCTCCCTAATGCGAATAAGCGGGGTGTGCTCGCGGGGTTTGATCGGCGCTATTTTGAGGTTGCAGTCAAAGACAGCGTCGCACCTGCTGAGAGAGACATCATCATGGAAAGTCTCATCGTCAATAGTTTCTGTGTCCAGTGCGTCGCGTTCCTTCTTGGCAGCTGGCTGGCTCAAGTGGGCGCGCTGTCCGCTGCCCGCGCCGGCCCTGGCAGAGCTGTCTGCAGGTCGGTGGGCGGGAAGCCAACTGGAAACGTCGACGCGGACTTCAGGCGCCAGGGTTTTCGCCGCGCTATTGCAGAGCGGGCCCTCATCGTGGAGTCCCTGCGCGTCGCTGATCGCGGAGGGGCCGACGTCCGACTCGACTACAAAGCGCCCTACAGCGATCGAGCGTGGCCGCGGTCAGCGCTGCGCACATTGCTGTGGGCTCGTCGCATCGCCGAGAGTTTCCAGTGGCAGAGGCCGGCGCACATCTCGGAGCTGGAGCTGGAGGCCGCAGTGGCTGGGGCGAGGTGGCGGCGCCGCGACGTCGCGACGCACCGCAGCCGCTACTGGCGCACTCTCGATGCCCAAGCGTCCGCGGCAGTCTGCGCCAGTGCAGGACCAGCGCGTGGCGCCTCCACCCGGGCATCAAGCGCCTCAATGCGCTGGCGCTCGCGACTGGCTGCTACCCGCTGCACGGCTACTGCGACACCGACGACGCGCCCGCCGACGCCCCGTCGCGCTGGGCAGGCGCGCGCAGCAGCCAGTGCGAAGAGAGTGGCAGCCAAGGCGCAGGCGCGGAGGGCGGCAGCTCGCAGCAGGCCCCTGCGGGAGGCGATGGCCACGCCGCTCACACTGAAGCGCTACCAGCAGGCCGTCAATAGCGCGTTCGACTGGTGGCTGGAGCAGGGCCGCGAGGTCCAGTCCGCGGTGCAGGCGGACATGGGCCTAGTAGACTACATTGAGGGGCGCTGTGCTGTGGGCGGATCGCTGTCCGACGTCAACTGCGCGATCGCCGGCATGTGTCACCACTTCCCCCCCTGCGTGGCCGCCTACGCGAGAGCTGGAGGCTGGCGCTCACGTGGCAACGTGCTGAGCCGGCAGGGCGAGTGATGCCAATTGGCCCGCTCATCGCCTTGGTCTTCTCAGGTGGCTTCCTTGCAAGTGGATTCCTTGCAGCCGCTGCTGTCTTGCTCGCAGCCTGCGACACCTACCTGCGGACAGGTGAGATTTTCACGCGCTGCGGTGGTCTGATATCACGATCTACGAGGCCTCCTGCACCGCCATGGTCAGGCTGCGAGACACCAAGAGCCAGCGCCAGACATGCGCTGGCGAATTCGTCATGGTGCGCTCCGAGCGGGCAGTGCGACTGCTGCTGGAGGCGCGCAGGCTTCGTCTTCGGGCTCCAGTCTCCCGCGGGCAGCAGGAGCAGCCTGCCATCGCCATGTCGCTGGCCGCATTCCACCGCATGTTCGGGGAGGTCCGAAGCCTGCTCCAGCTGAGTGACGTAAAGCTCACGCTCTACAGCTGGAGAAGAGGTGGTGCGAGCGCGGACTTTCGCAGCCACGGCTCCATGGAGACGACGCTGCTCTGAGGCAGATGGGCTAGTGCCCGCGCTGCGCGTCTGTATGTGCAGGATGCGGTCGCGGAGGCGACGACGCTGGCCCTCTTGCCTAGACAGCGTGCGACCCGCCTCCAGCTCGCAAGCCGAGTCTTGTAAACCGCTCGTCGTCTCCCACCCTTGATCTCTCCCTCCTTCCCCCTCGATGGTGTCAGCCAGGAGTCTTGGAGTGTGATCTGAAGTGCCCCCCAGATGTGTGGGGGGGTCGTGGTAGGAGTCGACTAAGGTCAGTTTCGGGTCCGTGAAGAGAGGTTTTCCAGACCGTCGCCCCCGACAGACCTTCCCAGGGGCGGAGTGTCGGCCTTTGGGCACGCGGCCTCCGGAGGTGCCCAGGCATGCTTCTCCTGGGCCGGTGCTCGCCGTGCCTTAGGGGAGGAGCACGTCTGGCCTTCCTCCTGTGGGTGGTTTGTCGGGGGCGGGTTCGGTCCTGTACAAAGCGACTCCTAGCGGAGCGGGGGGCGTAGCACATATATATATATATATATATATATATATATATATATACACATACATACAAACGACCAGATGATACAATTCATGACTTCTGTTCTCTGCATTATTATGCAGGCCGCGGGGCAAACTATCACTAAGGCTGTTGCACAAGTGATGGAGACCCGCCTTCCGACGTTGATTATCTAAAATATTGGCACGTCATATGAGCGGATGGCAGCCCATGTCGGCGACAAATTGATACGCTCGCGGGACGGCTAAAGGTCCTGGAAGACATGTGAAGAAGGGCCCGATAACTCTATTCTCAGGGATGCGAGCCGCGGCCGCTCGCCGCGCCCGGGGGGCACCTGTGCCCAGAGGAAGATCAGTCAGCTCTCCCTGCGCGGCCGTTTCCTGCTGGTCGGATCTGCCGCCACGGGCGCCGCTGCCAGCTCAGATCCAAGAGTTCCGCGCGGACCTCCCAAAAATGATGCCATTGCTTGTCCCCCTTTGTATGAATTTATAGCATCCGGGCAAAAGTACTCGCTCCCGCCTCGGCGCCGGTAGCAGTTTTGGAACGCTGGGGGGGCCGATGTTGTATTTTTCCAATCCGAGTGCCCTCTCCCCCCCCAGAAAAAAGTCATTGCGTGTTCCTCTTTGCAAAATGTGCTCCGCGCCATGCGTTGACCGCGTTCTGGACCCCAGCCGCCGCCGACAAAAAAAGGCTCGGGCGAAAGCGAAAGACGGCCGCGAGCACCCGGTGCTGGCCGGCGGGAGCTGCTGGACCTGGCCGTCGGCGGACGACGGGCGCCTCTGCGGCGGCAACTACATGTGTGAGGCGCGCGCCCCGCCACTGCGGGTGGCTGCCAGCGGCGTGGTTTTCTCGGGCGGCTGCCAGCCCAGACCTCCAGTGCTCGAGGTCTGTTCATGGGAGCCTTGGGCGGCGACAGCGACATCGGCCGGTCGACGCCAAAAGCCGGCTCGATTACGCCAGCATTCGCGCGTGAGCTCCCTGCGTAAGGTCACTCAAGAGCTCCCTCGTTTCAATGCGGCGTGCTGCGCTGCCCGCGTACGCCACCGCGTAAGGTCGCTACGTCATCTCGCGCAAGATTCCTTTCTTCGGGCGACGAAATCTATACATATCCACTGCTCTCTGGCCAGGCTCATCATGAACCCACGAGCTGTGCAGACGCCCTCCTAGCCAAGCCAGGAGGGCGTGGCGTGTACCCAGCTGCTGGGTTCGGGATAGGTCTGGCCATGGAGCAGTGGATATGTATACGTCGATTTCGTCGTCCTATTTCTGATCGTCGTTCTGCTGTCCTGCACCTCGGCCGCACTTGGACCGCATTTGGCCCTTCCTCCTGCTCCTTGTCGCCATTCTCGGCGTCGGTCGGACGTGCGCATTGCTTCCTCGGCGAGAACCATTGAGGAGCATCTTGGATCATCTTGCGAAACAACACGCACAATATCGACAAATGCACGGGAAAAGGACGTCCGAGAGATGGCGAGCCTTGCTGTTCCTTCGTCCCCCTCATCGCTCTTCTTGTCTCCCTCATGAAGGGGCGAATCCGGTCCGAATCTGCTCCAACTGTGGTCCCAAATTTGGTCCAAATCCGGTCCAGCTCTGGTCCCTAGTGTGTTCCAATTCGGGTGCAGAATCAGGCCCAAATCGGACAGCGCCGGGGGCAATGTAGGCTCCCATGGAACAGACACCAAATCAACGAATGCACAAAAATCAGGACGGAGGTTTTTCTCAGTTCTCGGCCTCTGTGAGCCTTCGTTGGGCATCAGGGCCGTCAACCTAGCCCAGCACAGCGCCCTTGGCAGCAAAGGTGAAGAGGCGGGTCGAGGAGTAGGCAGTAGGCGAGTGGGAGCAAGACCGTGTGCACCGTAGTCTGCAAGGGATCGCGGCCGTCTGGGTCATCACCGCAGCTGGTACTGAGGCGAGAGCACGATCTCTGAATTGATTGTGAGGGCGTCTCCGGCGAAGTGGCTGTCCAGGAGAGGCGTCCTTGGGCTCCCCGCCCCCCCCCCTGTGGGCACTCTGCGAGGCGTGGTCACTTTGATACCTCCACTGGAGCCCTCCACCGTGCAACGCCACTGAGATCGGCCCCTGGAAGCGATCCAGAGCCTCCTCCTCCTCCTCCTCCTCCTTCTCCTCGACCCCGCCTTGAAAAAATCAATGCGTTGCCCTCCTGGGCCTCGGGTGCTGCCCGCGGGGGCGCTCCTCCCGCAGGGTCGGTGCCAGCGCCCTCGCCCCCGTCTCCCTCGTCGCCCCTCGCCCTTCTCAGGTCTCCGGCGGCATGCTTTCGATCCCCATGGGATTTCCCGTGATTTTGACCCCTGGGGCCCACTCTTAGGCTTGAGTCGGGCATGTCCCCCTGCGGGAAGAAAATTCAAGAGTAGTAAAGGCGTAGTAAAGCGAAGATTTGTGGGGCTCTTCTGATTATCCGTAGGGGCTTCGCCCCCTGTCGCCGGCCCCCTCTCTATCAGAATGGGCTATGTCAGAGCTGTGCTGGAATTCCTTTGCGCCGTTGCGAAGCAATGTCGGAACCTCCTGCGAGTGCGATTGGTAAGCGGCAGATTCAGGTTCAGAACGTGTTGTTGAAGTCCGTATTGTTATTCTCGAGTTCCCTCTCGTGCCATGCATTGGAGCAGCGATTCGGGGCTGCTTGAGGCTACGTTGGGCAACATGGCGTGGCTTTGGCTGCCCTCTTGGGATGCCTCTTGGAAGCCTGTTGGGGCGGCTTGGCAGCCACTTGGTCCCTCGTTCGCCCTCGCGTGGCTGAAAGCTCATCTCTCTGGTTCGTGGTCCGGTTTTGGACCTCTCTTGGCGCCATCTTCAGGAGTTCTTGGGCCGTCTTGGGTGCCTCCTGAGCCGTCCCGGTTCCCTCTGGGGCCGTCTTTGGACTCTCCTGGAGGCTTGGGGGCGCGAATGTTCTTAGTAATTTCTAAGGGTTTATGGCTTCGGGGACGCGAGTATTGCATAATTTACAAGGGCTTATGGCCTCGAGGACGCAACTATTGCGTGCTTTACAAGGATGCATGGCTTCGGGAACGCGGATATGGATTAATGTATGAAGGTTTATGGCTTCGAGGGCGTAACTAGTGTGTATTTTTCAAAGTGTTATAGCCTGGGGGATGCGAATATTGTTTGATGTACGATGGTTTATGGCCTCGAGGACGCGAGGCATCGTGTAATTTACGAGGTTGTATGGCTTCGGGGAGGCGAATATTATGTAATCTGCGTGGGTGTATGGTCTCGGGGACGTGAACATTGTGTAATTTACTAGGGTTGATGGCTTCGGGGACGCGAATATCGCATAATTTCCCCATGCTAATGGCTTCGAGAACGCGAATATTGCGTGACCTACGAGGGTTTATGGCTTCGGGGATGCGAATATGGCGTAATGTACAAGGGTTTATGGCCTCAGGGGTGCCAAGTTGGGTGTGGGGGACGCACGTGGGCGGTCCCACTGGGGGCTTCGGTGGGGCTCCCTATTGGGCCACGAAGCGCTGTACTGGGTGGGTGCAAATGCCAAATTGGATGTGTGGGACGCATGTGGGCGGTACCATTGGTGTCTTCCGTGGAGCTCCCTATGTGGTCACGAAACGCTGTACTGGGTGGGCGCAAATGCCATATTGGACGTGGGGGGCGCATGCGGGCGGTCCCACTGGGGGCTTCGGTGGAGCTCCCTATGGGGCCACGAAACGCTGTGCTGGGTGGGTGCAAATGCCATATTGGACGTGGGGGGCGCATGCGGGCGGTCCAACAGGGGGCTTCGGTGGAGCTCCCTATGGGGCCACGAAGCGCTGTGCTGGGTGGGTGAGAGTGCCAAGTTGGGTGTGGGGGACGCACGTGGGCGGTCCCACTGGGGGCTTCGGTGGGGCTCCCTATTGGGCCACGAAATGCTGTACTGGGTGGGTGCAAATGCCAAATTGGATGTGTGGGACGCATGTGGGCGGTACCATTGGTGTCTTCCATGGAGCTCCATATGTGGTCACGAGACGCTGTACTGGGTGGGCGCAAATGCCAAATTGGACGTGGGGGGCGCATGCGGGCGGCCCCACTGGGGGCTTCGGTGGAGCTCCCTATGGGGCCACGAAACGCTGTGCTGGGCGGGTGGCAATGCCAAGTTGGGTGTCGAGGACGCATGCGGGCGGCCCCACTGGGGGCTTCGGTGGGGCTCCCTATTGGGCCGCGAAAGGTTGTACTGGGTGAGTGAAAATGCCAAATTGGATGTGGAGGACGCATGTGGGCGGCCCCGGGTGGGTGAAAATGCCAAACTGGGCGTGCGGGACGCATGCGGGCACACCAACTGGGACCTTCGGTGGAGCTCCCTATGGGGCCACGAAACGTGTGAAGGGTGTGCCGGAATGGGTGTGCCGGACGCATGCGGGCACACCCACTGGGACCTTCGGTGGAGCTCCCTATGGGGCCACGAAACGTGTGAGGGGTGTACCGAAATGGGTGTGCGGGACGCAAGCGGGCACACCCACTGGGACCTTCGGTGGGGACGCTCCCTATGGGGCCACGAAGCGTGTGAGAGGTGTGCCGAAATGGGTGTGCGGGACGCATGCGGGCACACCCACTGGGACCTTCGTGGAGCTCCCTATGGGGCCACGAAACGTTTGAGGGGTGTGCCGAAATGGGTGTGCGGGATGCGGGCACACCCACTGGGACCTTCGGTGGTGGGGCCACGAAACGTGTGAGAGGTGTGCCGAAATGGGTGTGCGCGACGCATGCGGGCACACCCATTGGGACCTTCGGTGGAGCTCCCTAGGGGGCCACGAAACGTGTGAAGGGGGTGTGCCGAATGGGTGTGCAGGACGCATGCGGGCACACCCACTGGGACCTTCGGTGGAGCTCCCTATGGGGCCACGAAACGTGTGAGGGGTGTGCCGGAATGGGTGTGCAGGACGCATGCGGGCACACCCACTGGGGCTTTCGATGGAGCTCCCTATGGGGCCACGAAACGTGTGAGGGGTGTGCCGGAATGGGTGTGCGGGACGCATGCGGGCACACCCACTGAGACCTTCGGTGGAGCTCCTTATGGGGCCATGAAACGTGTGAGAGGTGTACCGAAATGGGTGTGCGGGACGCATGCGGGCACACCCACTGGGGCTTTCGGTGGAGCCCAGGGGTGTGCCGAAATGGGTGTGCGGGACGCAAGCGGGCACACCCACTGGGACTTTCGGTGGAGCTCCCTATGGGGCCACGAAACGTGTGAAGGGTGTACCGAAATGGGTGTGCGGGACTCATGCGGGCACACCCACTGGGAACTTTGGTGGAGCTCCCTATGGGGCCACGAAATGTGACGATGATGGTGATGACGGTGATGATGACGACGATGATGATGATGACGATGATGATGGTGGGAGGAGGGAGAAGGGGGAGGAGGAGGAGGAGGAGGAGAGGAGAACGCGGGGCGACGTCTCTTCAAAACGAGGACCCAACACCTGGGGCGTGGTCCTGTGGGGCGTTCCTTCCCTGCAGGGGGCCATTACTCTGGGGCGCGGTCACCCTATGCCGCGAGGGCTGGGGCTGGGTGGCTGTCCGTGGTGCTCAACCCACGGGGTTGCCCTACCCAGTGAAAGAAAGGCCGGACGGTCACATAGGGGAGGCGGTCGTGGGGTTCTCCATCGCCGCCGAGCTCACCCAGCTCATGGGGAGGTGGCCAAAGTATCGCCGACAGGCACCGCATGGTCACTGCCTGTAACTCGGTGCACGCCAGGAGACTTCCCGGCGCCTATCGGCACCGGCCATGCTGGCGGCGGCAGTTATCGACCCACGGCGGGCCGGGAGCTGTTGGAGCTGATCGAGGTCCCCTCGCATCGTCCATTGCGACACGGAGTAATTCGTGGAGTGGTGGGTTAATTCGACTCAGCTGGGTGGCCACACGTGTCCGGGGGCCCATCGACCCGTATTCATCATTCCCCACGCATGCAGTCACCAGCACTGCATGCCAGCCCGCCGAGTGAGCTGCGAAGAGTTGGGAAAAACGAGATGTGTGTGACATCGCATTGACATGTTTTTGATGGCATCGAGGCACCCACAAACGAGCCCCAAGCGAGGCCCAATATGACCCCAAGAGCGCCTTGGAGATTCCCAAAATTTAGCATTTCGCTCGAGACATCCTCACCAACATGAGTTTTTCGCAACACCGTCTTTCACAAGAACAAGCATTTCGCCTGAGACATCCACCAGAAAATGAAAACCACGAATTTAACAAACGTATGGAGATGGGAATCTCGCCTGTCTCAAACTCGACCTCGTTCCCTCGGTCTTGGAGCCATGTTGGAGACACTTTGGGCCGTCTTGGAGTGCTCTCGGGCAGTATTGGGGCCATGGGAGCTCTCTTGGGATTGTTTTGGACCGTCTTGGTGCCATCTTGGGGCTCTCCTGAGCTTCCCCGAGAGGATTTGAAGGTGAAATATTTCGTGATAACAACGAAAGCACGCACGTTCTTTTGATATGTCAAAATGGTGTTTGCCACTTCGGGCATTGCTGGAGGAATTTGTGGTGGCATCTTGGAGATAGGCATCGTGGAAACGTCTTGCAGCCTTTTGGGGTTCTTCAGGCTGTACTCTGATGGTCTTTTGGGCTTCCTGCAGCCGCTTTGGAAGGCGCTTGGATGTCTGGTAATTTTCTGGAGGCCGACGAGGGCGCCGGATGACAAAGTCAGTGGCGGTTTTCTGAGCGCATGTGCAACGAGGGGAGGGTCGGCTCTCGAAACATTCAAACACTTGCACCGTGCAACAGAAGGCCATTCTATCCCGCCCCAGCGCTTTGCAGCACAGTAGCGGGTGAGCTCTCGGGTGCAGCATGAGTTCACCGTTACAGGAGGAATAATTTGGATTGCGCTCCTCGACGTTTGTGTGACAATGCTGGGCCACATCATTGCTTCCAGCTGGTTCACCCCGTGGCAGCGCGGGAGCCAGCGTTTTTGTAATTATTTTGGATGCTCTGGGGGAGGGCGAAGAAAAGTAAGGAAAAGAGAACACATCAGGCATGCATGCAACAATGCAAACTCACAAATGAAACATTCGTCTGGGAAGTTGCATCGAACATGCGTTCCACTAGTGGCGAGGCTGCGCACATATTATATATTAAGAATTCAATGGGGATCTGAGCAGCTAACTTGTGATCTTGCGGTGGGAATATTTTGAGTTTGAGGGCACATGCACTCTCAGACTGTGGGATATGCTTCGTTAGGCTTGCATCACGCTGGATGGCTATGATGATGATTATGATGATGCTGATGTTGATGCTGATGATGATGATGATGCTGATGCTGATGCTGATGATGCTGATGATGATGATAATGATGATGATGATGATGATGGTGATGATGATGGTGATGATGATGATGATGATGGTGATGATGATGATGCTGCTGCTGATGATGATGATGCTGATGATGCTGATGATGATGATGATGATGATGATGATGATGAGAGCTTCAGCATCGGACTGAGCCCCCTAGATGTTAGAGCTATCATGGTGCGCGTCGAGTCGATCGCGGGTGTGGAGCATGTTGGCGCGCAGGCGAGGGATCTTCTGTGAACGCTTGCTCGAAAGAGCGTGGGAGGAGGAGGAGAAGGAGGAGGAGGAGGAGGAGGAGGAGGAGGAGGAGCAGGAGAGGGAGGAGGAGGAGGAGGAGGAGGAGGAGGAGGAGGAGGAGGAGGAGGAGGAGGAGGAGGAGGAGGAGGAGGAGGGGGAGGGGGAGGAGGAGGAGGAGGAGGAGGAGGAGGAGGAGGAGGAGGAGGAGGAGGAGGAGGAGGAGGAGCAGGAGGGGGAGGGGGAGGAGGAGGAGAAAGGAAATGCAGGGGATGTCAGGATGCAATTCTGGGAGGTTCAATTCAACATCGACGCTGGCATATCCGTGGTCGGAAGCTGGCCTAATCCAGCAGAATCCCGTTCAGTTCGGCCCAATCCCGCGCAGTAGGGCCTAATCTGGACCCACTGGGGCCTAGTCCAGTGTAGTGGCCCTTTTATCAGGCTTGATAGCTTTGAAATCGGGCGGGGTTAGGACGAAGATAAATCTATTCCAGAGCGTTTCGGAACGATCTCCGAGCGTTCCCAAACGCTCTGAGAAGGCCGCGGCGCCCGAGACATCCTCCAGAACCGCCACATCTCAGAGATTCCCGATGTTATCTTCGTCGTGGCCTCGTCTGATTTAGCCGTTGTCATGAATATCTCCTGGAAGTTGCCGCCTAAGGGATGGCAAAGGACTCCGGGGCCTCTCGGCGGGCAGCCCGAAGCGTGTAGGCGTCGGGCGGCTACTGCGGCGGCCACCCCGAGGACCAGGACGAAGCTCTGCGGCCCCAGTTCCGGGCGGCGGAAGACAGTCCGCAGATTCGGGAGCGGGGCGAGGGGTGGGAGCAGGACCTTGAAAGCGTCTGCGGCAGTTCTTAAACGTAAGGCTTCTCATTCTTGCTCCCCTCTCCTTGCCGAGCCTGGGAGCGCTGATGCAGCAACGACGTTTTCTTAAGGGAGGTCGATGCAAGAACTGTCATTTTACTTGTCGCTCCGCCATGCATATGCATCCCCGCACGCGAACGTTCCAAGGTGCTCGGAAACGAAACGAGAAGGAGGGTGCGGAGGAGGATGGGAGAGGAGGAGGAGGAGGAGGAGGAGGAGGAGGATAGGAGAGGAGGAGGAGGAGGAGGAGGAGGAGGAGGAGGAGGAGGAGGAGGAGGAGGAGGAGGAGGAGTGACGAGGACGAGGACGAGGAGGAGGAGGAGAGCAAGCAGGACATGGTCCCACAGGGACTCCACCATGCATTCGGTCCCTCTACCCAGCGGATCAGAGAGGGAGCTCGAGGAGCCAGCGGGTGCAGTGGACGGCCAAGGAGCGGCAGTTGGCCGGGATGGCCAGGTGAGCGGCCAGCGACCCGCAGCAGTGGCCCCATGGGCCGACCGGCAGACGCAAGGGGAAGGGCGGGGGGAGGAGTGGCGGCGAGAGCAGGGAGGAGGAGGAGGAGGAGGAAAAGGAGGAGGAGGAGGCAGGAGGCAGGAGGCAGGAGGCAGGAGGAGGAGGAGGAGGAGGAGGAGGAGGAGGAGGAGGAGGAGGAGGAGGAGGAGGGAGGAGGTGAGGCTTCGGCCGTGGATCGCCAGCGGCGCGGCGGGGCAGCGCGGCAGCGGAGCGGGCCCTGGGGGCGCGCTGCCCCAGAGGCCTCGCGAGTGCTCCAGGCAGGCGGCGGCGCCGCGCACGCGCGCGCCAGCGCGCACTGACCGGGCACTCGGGAGGTCCCGGCTGGCACTTGAGCGACGGGGCAAAAGCGGGTCGATTGTGCTGACCTTCGCGCGCGAGCTGCCCGCGTAAGGTCGTGGGTAAGCGCCCTCGTTTCCAAGGCAGCGTGCCACGCTCCGCGGCCCGCGGAAGCCAGCGCGGAAGGTCGTTGTGTCATATCTTGTACGACCCGTTTCCTTCCGTCGCTCCTTTGAGCTCAAGAAGGCGGCCTCGGGGCCGCATGTTTGCAGGAACGATTGGGCCGCGAGGCCGCAGCTTTGCAGGGTGTGTGTGGAGCAGCAGTGCAGTAGCAGGAGGCCGCGAAGCTGCAGCTGGAGCGTCGTGAACCCAGCGGGGACGGTCGCTGTCCCGCAGGCGCCGTCTTTTTAAGTCTCCCAGATGGGGTCCGAGTAGATGGGGTCGGAGGATCGCACCGCATCGCCGATGCATCGGCGATGCGGCTCGATGTGGAGCCTGGTTTTCTCCACGCCGACGGCGTCGAAGCATCGCCGACGTCGCCGATGCATCGCCGATGCATCCCTGATTCATGGGCTTACGCCACACCGCCGACCTCTTGGGATATCTGGTAAGGCCTTGGGTGGGGGGGGCTCCGTGCAGCATTAACAATCTGTCTCTCGCTATCTCGCGCGTGGTTTTTTCTTGTGCACTGGCCCCCCATGTCGCCGCGCCAAATTGCCGCCGGTTGCTGCGGCCTCGCATCAGGTCCACCCTCAGCAACTTGGTACGTTTGTATGTACAAATGACCGTATATATGCATATACACATGTGTATATATACATAAGCACATGCAATCTTATGTTGTACACACACGCGTACATAACATGGGCAGGCATGCGTGCACAGAGGTGGCACTGCGCGGTGCCATTCGACAGCGTGTTTTTGGGCTCAAGAATTGGCTCGTGGTGTGTTCATTCGGCGCCAGCGTCAGCGGATAATGAGGGGCAGAGGTAGCAGTGATCCTCGGGCAGCATGGTTCGCCATCAGCGAACAGCAACGCGTTCTGTGGCCAGTCACGAGCAGATCTCAATTAGTTTTCGCGTGTGCCGGGCATGTACATATATAATCCAGATGATACAGAGGCGTCCCCCCGCAACGCAAGTATATATAATATATACATACCTACATCCATACACGCACAGATATGTGCATGTATATACGCATGTATATATACATGTATACATACGTAGAGGCGTCCCCCTCATATGCTGGCTAGTGGGTTTCTTTTTTCGATGATACTGTGCAACGTCTTTGAAGCACAGGTACAGATCGGACGTCGCCGACGCATTGCGGCGAGGCTCACGCGTGTGCGGAATCAAGCGTCGGCGAGTTGAGCTGCTGCGACGCAAGTATGGAGAACGGAGGGGGCATGAGGTGGTTCAGAAAAGGAGGAGGGATTAGTGATGCAGATTCTGTCTCTTCTTAGCCGCAACATTGTAGGAGGACTCCGACAAAAGCCATGCGAGGATGATCTCACAGCGCGCGGACGTCCCACCGCGCAGGGTGGAGGTTTTGAAGGCAGTAAAAGCACCGCGCGCGTTTTTTTTTCCCCCCGGTCCAACGGCGGTGCCTCTTGGAGGGTGTCATCCTCGGAGGCGCGTTGGAGGCTCTGGACAGATCGAGACCGAATCCACAAATCCAAACCCAATGGTCGTGTCAGGATAATCGCTCCGCGCGGTCTGGTGGTGAGTGTGCGTTCTCTATGCGGTCGTGGCAGGGGCTCGAGGATGGTCACGCTCGTTCGGCGCAAGATCTTTTGGCGGCCAGGCCTTCCTCCGACAAGAGCGCCCATGCGAATTTCATTGGGATGCTCGGGTGTCGCTGTGACATCAAGTTTCGATGACAGCGGCTTTTCCGCAGTCTACTCCAAAGTTGCTCCAAGAGAATCGTGTTTGCGGTCTGGGTTGGCAATGTGCGTTGCATGCGGCTGTTCCAGGGGCGCGAGGAAGGGCGCGTTTCGCGCGGCGGCTGCTCCTTTGGCAACGAGGCCCCCCTTTCCCGCGCCTCAGGAAAACCATGTGCTTCTTGCAGGATTGTTCCAGTGTTGCTGTGGCTTCAAATACCGATGGCAGGGTCGCCCCCGCAGTCCACTCCAAGGTTGCGCCAGGATAATCGCGCCTCGCGGCCTGCGTTGGAGAGCGATCTCCCCCCATGGGCCCTGGGGGGGGGGGGGGGGGGGCGCGAGAATGATCTCGCAGCGCGCGGAGGTCTCAGCGATCGGCGGTGGATTCTGCGACGCCAATACAAAAAACACGCGCGTTTGTTTTGTCTTCTGCGCGGCGAGCGCTGAGGTGTCACGATGCCATGCTCGACGCAGGTCCACCTTCAGAAACTCCCCAATGCCGAAACCGTTGTGGCTCCAGCGCGCAGCCCATGAGGAGCGCCTTTTTTCGGCCCCCGCGGGAGTAGCGACGCATGGGCGATGAGGCGGCGCTGGACGCCGCGTCGGCGTCGGCTTCGGCAGCCGCTGCCGATGTGCAAGCGCTCCCGCCGCGTGCTGCTGGTGCCGATGATGATGAGAACTGGGGCCCGTGGACGTTGTCTGCAGCGGATGGGAGCACTCGTGCGGCGCAGCCACAGACAGCGACGCCACAGCCGCACCTGGAGCCACAGCTAGCGCTTGCGCAGCAGCAGACACCCCGACCACAGTCAGTGGCTCCGCAGCGACAGCCGATACGAGAAAAGAGAGCGCCTTGCCACAGGGCACCATCGCTGCAGCCATCGCCTCGGAGACAACAGGCGCATCGACCAGAGAAAGCGCGCCCGCGCGATCAGCGGCAGCCGAAGCCCCCGCTTCATCCGCCACCACCAGATCTACAATCAGCGCGGCTGATTGTGGAGTTGCAGCCAACATTTCCGTAGCATCCGCCACCACAACCACAGTTAGGGCAGCCGCGCGGCGAGCTGCACTGGGCAGTTCCGCAGTTTCCGCCAGCGCCCCCAGCGCCGCCACCCCCAGCGCTGGCGCGGCCAACGTCAACTTGGGCCCTGCCAAATGGACAGCGTGGCGGGCGAGCAGAGGCGCCGCCACCAGCGCCTGCGCCAGCGCCGCCCGCGCCGCCGCCAGCTGACCAGAAGGCCCAGGGCTTGCCAAGGGCCCCAAAGACTCCAAGTCCTCCGGAAAGGAAGCGCCCCAAACGAACTGCAGCCTCGGCTTCAGCTGCAGCAGGGGCGGCAGCAGCAGCAGATGCAGTGGCGGCGGCAGCCTCCGCAGATGCAGCGGCCCCGGCAGATGCAGCAACAACGGGCTCAGCAACGGGTGCAACAACGGCAGCGGCGACAAAAGCGCGGACGCCCGGCGAATCGGCGGCGTGGCACAGTGCCTGCGCGCAGGGCTTCCAGGACGGCGTCAGTTTTTGGATTCGAGAGCGGGGAGAAGCGCGGCGCCCTCGCTGGTGTGATGAAGGAGATTAGGGTTTATGAACTCGTTCGTTTCCTTGTATTCCATCTTAGGCAAGGCATGCTCCTCCAATCTTCTCTTTGTCCTCTTGAGTCCTCGGCCCATGGTGAGGCCTTCCCTCCGGATATGTTGCAGCTCGTGGCGATGGCGATCGTCTTGATGAATATTGGTGTGGATGTCGAAGGTGATGGGGATTTCCACCCTTGCAGATCTATTAACCATTACATTCTCTTCGATGTACAGGGTGCTCTATGGTGGGGCCCGGTAAATGTGCAGCCCTTGTATGTCTTGCCCTTGCGTTGTGTTAGAGGTTGTCTCTTTTCCTTTTTCCCTCCCTATATCTACCTTTACTATTGTGGTTACTTGTCTAAGATTGGCAGGTTTGCCCATCTCCATTTTCGCCCAGACTCTGAACGAACTGCAGCCCGGCGAGGAGCGGCAGAAGTGGACGAGCTGGCACGGCGTAGCTCCAGGTTTGCCGCCTGGAGGGTTCGAGGCCATGGCGACCCAGATCGCCTGGGAGATCGGCTCGTTCCCGACGGCGGAGACGGGCATTTTCGTTGAAAAGGGGTTGGGGAACGCATCAATGAGGAAAGAAAGGAAGGACGGGAAAAGAAAGTGAGGAGAAGGGCCAGCGAGGAGGGAAGAAGGAAGGACGACGCAAGGAGGACGGGAAAT